AAAAACTTTTGACGAAATGCTTTTTGGCTTTGAATGACGTATTGAGTGACGAAATACTATATGTTTTGTTGACAAACACTGACTGAAGGCATGGTTTCGTTGAGTTGTTATCAATTGGTTTGAGTTTTGTGTCAATCATTGCCTCTTCATTGCCGTCAATATAATGGCCACAAAAGTGGTGAACATTAATATCGGTCTTTTGGGTCACATCGACAGCGGGAAGACATCTCTGGCCAAAGCCCTGTCCACCACTGAGTCCACCTCATGCTATGACAAGAACCCTCAGAGTCGCGAGAGAGGGATAACCATTGACTTGGGTTTCTCTTCGCTGTCGATGTCGTGTCCTCGGCGTCTGTTGCGAGAGATGGAGGGGTCGACGGGCCAAGAGTTGGCACAACCGAGCGATTGGTGCCTTCAGATGACATTCGTGGACAGTCCCGGACACTCGTCGCTCATTAAGACCATTATAGGCGGCGCACAGATCATCGATCTTATGGTTCTTGTGGTGGATGTCATGAAAGGCATTCAGACGCAGACCGCCGAGTGTCTGGTCATCGGAGAGATTACTTGCGATCAAATGGTTGTCGTCTTAAATAAAGTCGATTTGATTGATGAGAATAAGAGAGAGACAACCGTTGAGAAGATGTCCAAAAAGATTGCGAAGACGTTAGAGAAAACCAAATTCAAGTCATCGCCGATCGTTGCAGTGGCCGCTCATCCGAGTGATGGCAGCGATGGAAGCGCTACCAGTGATGTCAAGCCCATTGGGATTCAGCAGTTGTTGGACACCATTTGCGATCAAATTTCTTATCCAAAGCGCAGTCCAAACGGAGAGCTAATCCTTTCGGTGGATCACTGCTTCTTAATCCGTGGCTCCGGTACTGTTATGACCGGAACTATAATCCAGGGATCAATTGCTGTCAATGATGTAAGACATGCCATAAGTTGTCAAATGTTTTATAAATTTAATTGTGATTTATTGGTCCCAAGAATATAGAGATCCCTTCCGTGAAAGCCATCAAAAAAGTGAAATCAATACAAATGTTTCACCAGAAGATCGAGAGAGCCATTCAGGGCGATAGAGTCGGTGTTTGTGTCACACAATTTGATCCCAAACTCTTGGAACGAGGAGTCGTGTGTTCGCCCGGTTTCATGAGTGGTGTCTATGCGGTCATCACAACCGTCAACACAATTGCTTACTATAAGGGAAAGTATGCGACGAAAGCCAAGTTCCACATCAGTGTCCTTCACGAGACTGTTATCGCAAAATCCACTTTCTTTAAGACAACGAAACCAAGCAATTGGATCCAAGGCTTTGATTTTGACTCGCAATACTCGTATGAGGATGAGTTGCCCGGTAACTGTGATCCCAAACAATATTACGTACTCTTAGAGTTCGAGCGCCCAGTTATCTTAAATACCGGCGCCTTATATATAGCGTCAAAGCTGGACACCGATATTCACGCCAATGTCTGCAGACTTGCATTCTATGGCAATGTGTTGAAGACATTCTGTGATAAGAATTACGCGGAAAACGATTTACAGAATTTGAAAGTTTTC